CCCAGTGGCCCTAATCCCCTTCCGTACTAAAATGTGTACCGATTATCTAGTCTTATTTTTTCTTGCTCAATAGTGGTAGCAGTAGTACTAGTAATGTTGTTGATGATGTCTTTATTATTAATGTTAAAGTTTGACAATGTTTTTATGTTTGTTGTTTTTTTGTTTTTTTTGCTCTTGTAGCTGAAGACTGTTCCATTTAACGATGAAGGGGGGGGCGTAAATAGATTGAACGAAGAAAAAATTACTCGTGAAATGAAATCATACATTACAATTATTTGCATTTATCTATTGTAATGCTTTGGGTTCATTACCGCATTATAAAAGAATAAAAATGAGAAACAAAAATGTGTTTGAATTTCTCATCCCCCCCCAACACGGACCACTGCATTACGAAATTGCAGCGTACCGAGCGCTGTACGATCCTAGTTTTACTGATTTGTCCAGTGTTTGCCACTTGTGACTTTTTATGCTGTAGCTCGCATTCATTCGGCGTTTTATCACCATGTCGGTGGCTTTTGCACCTCATAGACAACGAAAGGGCGATATAACGCCCGCCGGAATACAAAAGGTAATTCATCTTTTTTTTTTTTTTTCCCGCGGAGCATTATGGAGGCTAGGGTTTGCTGCTAGCTTTTGGCAGTGAAGCAGTGCCCATCTAAAGCCAACTGTGTAATACTGTAACACGATCAAAGCGCGGTCAATATGAAACTCCCTTGAAGCAGGACGCCCCGTGTACACAGGGAATCCGAAGTTAAATGTTAAATTTGACGTTAAATGAAAGAAGGCCTTGGTTTTGTTAGCAAGGCATAGCTAGCATGAAAGACACGTCTTTGTTAGCGAGAAACGCACGCTTACATTAAAAAAAAACTCCCCCATTGACTTCAAATTATAACATAAAACATATTGGAAAGCACACATTTAACGGGGACAGATTATACCGTCTTAACATATATGTATTGTTTTACGTATAGTAAGAGGAATAATATTATCTAAATGTACTTTTCCAGTTGCTTGATGAAAACAACCAGCTGATCCAATGCATAATGGACTTCCAGAGTAAAGGCAAAACAGCAGAATGTTCACAGTAAGTTTCAACCAGTTTTTTCTGTTTTACACACTTAAGTGATTTATACTAGAAGCATTGATTATTCTCCATCTTACAGTTATCAGCAGATGTTGCACAGAAATCTAGTGTATCTGGCCACGATAGCAGACTCCAATCAGAACGTACAGTCTCTCCTCCCTGCTGTGAGTATTGTTTGAATGTTTTCACTGCTTAGTTTTGTTCAACTATGACTTATATGCCTCAAAGTTGTTAAATTAAGTTCCTCTATTTGAACTATAGGTTTTGTCATTGAAATACAATTTTGATTATTTGTTGGTTTATAGATTTTAGGTGCAGATGCTTTGCAATAACCTGCATTTTGCTTTAATGGTTGCTATTTATATATGCTAATCTTGTTTATTTACATCTGTTATAAATCACTAGAGTGTATTAAGTATATAATATGCAGGTATGCGGAGGCACATTTAATTTAGCATTTTTTTGGGGGGGGTCATTCTTTCTTAACCCTTTATAGGACAAGTTACAGTTTTTGGTCACTAGCGTATCCCTTAAAAATGGAGTCCCCCTCGTCCCTTAGTGAGGTCTACAAGCACAAGATCTATATCCAGCCATTCAGCAAAGATACTGCTACATGGCTGTACATCTCATTTTGGCATTTGACCAAATAGATGAGTCCTTCTATGATATATTACCTACTGTAAATTAAGTAGAAGAAAAAGTTAAGCGGGAAAAAAAAGGTTTAATTGAAAGGTTAAAAAGTAAACCTAAAAAGTTAATAAACCTCGTTAACAATTATATTAAGCTTTATAAACTAAAAAAATGTACCAGTATCAGTATTAATACTTCCAAGGTTATGACGTACCACAAAAAAAAGTGTTTCTTTCAATGTCAGAGTTTTTTTTAAAGGAATTTCTTATAGAAGCACTTTTGTTATTTTTTTTAATATATTCTGGCAAGTTGTCATTTCTTGTTATTACATTGACATTTATTTTTGCCATCAAAATATCCATATTTTTCCAATAACACTATTGGCTTGAAATTTTGATTTTCAAATGATTTCACTGGGTGCCTTATAAAGGTTTATTAGCATCCATAATTTATGGATAACAGCAATGAATTCTAGTTTTTTTTTCTCTCTCTCTTGAAGATTAAGTTGTGATTACTTTTCAGACAGTTAACATGTGTGTGTGTTTGGGGTATTCACTTACAGCCACCCACTCAAAATATGCCGATGGGCCCCGGTGGCATGAACCAAAGCGGACCCTCTCCTCAGCCCCCTCACGGTCACAACATGCCCTCTGAGGGTATGGTAAGCGGCGGCCCTCCAGCCCCCCATATGCAGAATCAGATGAATGGCCAGATGCCTGGTAAGTCCTGTGTCAGCATCCCCTCTTTCTCATCTCTCAGTTTCTGTTTCCCCTTAAGTTGCCTGGCAACATTGAAGCCTTTTCAGGATTGCTATTTTCCAGATGAATGATGTCACCCATGCAGCCTTCTGTAGCGGTCTATGATGCTATTTCCGTCATTTCTGTCCTTTTTCTTTTGAAACCAAACCCTTTATAGACACTTTTCATATCAAACCTTGATATGAAAAGTATTTAAACAAGAACAGTTGGTCATCATTGTCTGCCCAGTCGTCTTCCCCATGATTTGTGACTATAAAAAATATTTTCAATGTAATTCATGTAGATGTTTTTAGAATAAATGGGTATATAGCATTGCAGCAGAGTAATTTACCATTTTAAAGCCTTAATTTCCTCAGTAAAGTTAGGATGATGGACACCAAATCCAATTGCAAGCTCAGCTACCTTATTTAGCCTAAACTGTAACCAGATGTGCATTAGATTGCTAAAATTAAAGGTATTTTATTATAGCAAATTAACCAAATTTAAATTCTAAATGGAAAATGAACAGATTCAATGGGACATAAAAGGATGGCACAGTTGAGAATACCAATGTTCTGTGATTATTTTTTAATTTGTTTGTGTGTCCTCTATTCTGTTTTCTAGGGCCTAATCATATGCCCATGCAAGGTCCTGGTCCAGGTCCCAACCAGCCTCCAAACATGCCCAGTGGCTCTATGAATATGCCCCCCAGCAGCCATGGCTCTATGGGCGTTTACAATCACGCAGTCCCCTCTTCGCAGGGCATGCCTGCACAGAGCCAGATGAACATGACCCAGGGTCAAGCTATGGGAAGCTACGGGCCTCGACCGAATATGAACATGCAACCTAGTCAAGGTGAAAGGAGGGTTTTGTATGTTTGGGTGTACTGATTTAAAACTGTTTATCACCATGATAAATGCGTTCTATAAGAAACAGTGACATTTTATCATGTTACAGCTTGTGAATGGAAAACAAATAATATTGCACCTGAGTGAATTCAGTTAACAGGCAGACTGGTGTAGATAATAATTGGCTACGTTCAAACTGCAGGCCTTGATGCTCAATTCCCATTTTTTAGTGAAATCCGATTTTTTTTGCATTGCTGTTCACATTTCCAAATATATGCGACTTGTATGTGATCTCCTGTGTGAACTGCAGTCATACAACGCAAGTGTCCCACATGCGCAGTAGAGGACGCGGTGACGTCACAGGCCAGCGTGCTCTGTGTTTATGGAAATAAACATGGATGGTAGTGCTGGCGCGCATCTAGCGACCATACCATAAAAACACAATCTTTCAAGATTGTTTAACATAAATACTGCTCTCTGCATCATCATCCGCCATGGTTGTTATTTTTCTTGCCACTTCTTCATAGCAAGACAAAGAATAGTGACCTTTGTCGGGTATTAATGGCGTTCAGGTCAGATGAATGCGACCTAGCCGATCAGACGCAGGTCGCATTTGAAAAGATCAGATTCGTACCAGATTCGGGACCACAGAGCCAAGTGGCCTGGGTCGCTTTGGAAAAAATCGGATTTTTTTTTTTTATCAGACAGCCATGAAAAGATCAGATACAGGTCACATATGGACCAAAAAATTTGATTTGGGTCACCTCAGGTTGCAGTGTGATCGTAGCCATTTTGGCACTTAATTAGGAAATTCTTGCAAGACAGAAAACAGGCAGGGAGTGATCAAATCCATGTCCTTGTCACCCTGCTCTTTTTTTTTTTTTTTATACCTATCTGACAAAAGATTTCATAAACAACACACTGAGAAAAGTAAATCACAAATTATTTTATCAGAAAAGACAAGCCCTGATAGGAGGCTGATCTGAAAAATGGAGCACAATGACCTGTCTGAGGGTGCATATAGTTTGCACTGACCATTTTTATGGACAGATAGCCATAGCCTGGGTGCCATTCCAAACTTAGTCCCGCCCACAACGTTTGAGGTCGGGAAGTTCGGTCTGGCATTGCTCATCAGTAGCGCGAGTATGCTAGCACAATATCTGGCGGGCCAATCAAATTGTCAGGGCGGGCTTTATACGATGATGGACAGATGATCAACAGTAACGTAATCAACCACGTCACCAAAGCCCGCTTGGGTGACAACAACAATGGCTGCCGCTGGAGAGTTGAGGTGTGTAGATTCTGCTATAAGGTCTGTTCTAGAAGATATCGACAGCAAATTAATTTTAAAAGAGGAACAGAGAAACGCGATCAAGGCTCATCTTCTTATTCTAGGCGTGCAACTGAACGCTTTGATTTTTGTTGACAACAACTATGCGTCGCTTAACATACGTCACGCACTCCGTTGCTCTTATTGGTTGTAGGTCTATCCAATTGAGTGCAGAGGCATTTTTTTTCCTGGTTCGTTCAAAACACGCCCCTTAATCACAGCTCTATGGAGCAGTATCAGACTCATATTCTGACTAGAATTGAGTAGGACTACGTCAAGCTAAGATAGCCAGAGAGCCGAGTTTCTTTTCAGATACTCACCTGACAGTTGGCGATATTAAACATGTCAGCCCATCTAAATTTCAACTAACAATCCCCAAAAGTCATTTATTGTGTTTTTTTTGTGATAAGCTAAAACTATTGGTGAGAAAACTACAAATTCATTGAAATTGATGTGTAGGGTTTGAAAATAATTAGCCAATAAAAAGTGTGGGTAAATGTGGCAGGCATTCGGGTTGAATTCCTTTTATGTTTTTGTATCCAAAGTATTTATTTTGGGTGGCAATGTAGAAATGCAGAATACAATTTTCAGATATTTTATTAATAAAAAAAGTGTGAAAGCTTTATATATTCTGTGCTCTGCTCTTAAGAAACTTATACCAGTTCGCGTTGCTCTGTCACATGACAAAAATGCAATGGTTGAAGAGGAACGAAGCACTTTTAAGAAATGCTTCACTTGCTTCATTGGTTGCCTCTTTACTACAGGTCCCATGATGCATCAGCAGCCTCCATCACAGCAGTACAACATGCCTCCCGGTGGTGGTGGACAACACTACCAAGGACAACAGAACCCAATGGGTATGATGGGCCAGGTCAGTCAAGGGAACCACGTCATGGGACAGAGGCCGATGCCCCCCTACAGGCCCCCGCAGCAAGGTATACCTCAGAGTCTGTCTTGGTTGTGCAAGTTGTGAGAGTTGGTCTTTCCTCTTCATAACCCCTTCCTCTTGCCCTTCTTGCTTGTTCCAATCCTTTTCCTTTTCACTCATTTTCCTTTACCCGTTCACTCATTTTCCTTTACCCCAACCACCGTAGTTCAGATATCTTGATGAGAAATGGGTGTTAAGCTTTTAGCCTTTGACAAAAATGGCGGAGGAATCCAGCAAAGCAAGAACAAGCAGCAAAAGAACCCATCCTCTTTACTCTTCCCCTTACACAAGGCACTCAACAACACCTTGAATCTACCTGTGTGTATGTTGTATGTAGGACCTCCCCAGCAGTACCCAGGGCAGGAAGACTACTATGGGGACCAGTACAGTCACGCAGGACAGGGAGCCTCAGAAGGTAGGAGAAGCCTCCAGTCACTTGGAGAAGATGTTGACTGAACTGACAAAGAACAAGTCAGAATTTCCAATTTCTTCATTATACTCTGGAGAAGTCTGTTTGAATATGGTGCTCTAAATATGAAACGATAAGAAAACGCCTGTTTCAGAGGTTCACACTCTTCTAAAAGGGGCTGTTTTTCACCACTAAGTTAGGATTTTGGAGGAAGTAATTTCAAATGATATATTTTTTTGCATTTAGGCACTCTGCGTTCTACTTTCAAAGCTGTAGACAGTTTGCTCATTGGTCTGTGTCAGCTAAGGTTTAGCAAACAGATTATAGAACGGGGTAGATAGAAGAACAGCACAAGAAGGTTACAAACCACCAGATTTTGATATTAAACTGATGATGTTCTTCAGCTCAGTAGCTGAAGGTGCATCATTGATAAGCTTTCAATAATTCTCCTGATCTAAAAAATACAAATCTCTCTCTTTTTACTATCAACATTTTCTTTTCATGGATTTGTTTTCCTCTGCTGACCCAACTTTTTTCCCTTTGACCTTTTAAACTCGCCTTTCTATCTTTTAAAATAGCTATTGTAATAAATACACTACTTCCTAAATGTCATTGCTCAAGGTCTGACCTCATGATGCTATGATGTGCTTCTCTAGACCTTAAATTGTTAAAATCACATCAGTTTTCTGTGTTTCGTTGGTTAAAATGTCCCAATTATTTGTATTACTAAAGACCAGATCTTTTTTTAATGGGATTGTGTTTTCCTTTTAAGCTGTGTTACTTGTGTCAAAGTTGAGTTTTCTCCAACAAGTTTTTCACAGCAGTTTGCAGGGATTTATCCCATTCTTTCTGATAGAACCCCTGGAACTGAATCAGGGACTGGAGTAGGCCTGGGCGATAAACTGAATTTCTACCGTTCCGATAACCAGCAACAATGTCGATAAAAGAAATAAACTTAATTTAGCTGTTTTGCCTATCTGCGCTGGGGGCTGGTATTTCCTTCCCCAGCGTCTAACATAGCTGTAAACGAAATTATATCATTTAATCCTGTGGAGTCGAGCGAAAGCAGAAATTAAGCTGAGCGCGCAGAGAGAAGGTCGAGAGCTTGTTGTCAGAGTTGAGTGCGCCGTTTTGAGTGAGGGTGTGCGAGTTTAAACGATGCACATTGTTCAAAAGAGCACAAAATGGAAAGTTTGTCTGAAGACTGTCTGTGGAGGGTTACACAGGGTTATAAATCCAGCCGCACAACCATGCTGTTGAGTTCAAAGATTTGCTAAAGGTTTCGTTACCTTTGCGCAAAAACGTTTTAAAGAGAGGAAACCATTTTCTCCTGTACATCGAGACATTGTAGAATGTTTAAACCCGAATGGGTAAAAGACTTGAATATTTGATATAAAGTAATATATAATGTGATTTATTCAATAAGTAAATTATAACTAGATCAGTTGCATTTCCTGCACATGCTTTTGTTTCCGATAAAAGAGCCGGAGCATTTATTGTGCATTTATCGTTACTGAGGTAAAACTGCCCAATTTATTTGAAGCCATATCGCCCAGCCCTAGTTTGGAGGCTGCCTCACTCAACCACACCTTTTGCAGCTCTTCCCATAAAATAAATCTATGTACATGATATACAGGTCTTTGTGGTAGGAGATCCAAAACGTGGAGTGATAAGATTTTGCTTTTTCTTTAGCTACTTGATAACCAACATGGTGCATTTGGAAGTCCTCCCTGGGCCTAAGCTTTAACTTTCTCCCTGATGTCTTGGGATGTGGCTCCAGTTATTCCACACAAACCTCACCTCATTATGTTTATTTTATGTAGTAGACCAGTCCCTTTAGGCATTTCTAAAACAGATTTTTGAGTAATGGCTTCCTCCTCTCTGAGTGGTGTTTCAGCCAATGTCAGCGCTGGACTACAAATTCTGTATCCAAGCATTTTCATCTTTAGGACCTTAAAGAATACTTAAAAGTAAAGTCCTTAAATTGTATAGTGACAGGATGTTCCTGTGCCGCTTATACCTGCATATAATCACAGCACAATATAAACATGGCTCTTTGGATGTGGAAATTGTACCCAAGGATGAACCAAGCTTTTGGAGCTTTAGAATTCTCTTACTCTTGATTAGGCTGATTTATTTTTATAGGATATCAAAAAGAAGGCAATATTTATGTTATTGCATAACCTAATAAGACCCTTGTGGAGCAATGAAAAAAGTATCTGTTTGGCTTCTCAAATTAAAGCACAGTTATCTAAGCCCATGAAAATGTGATTTCTAGGAGATAAAAAAAA